GATATGTTGGTATCACCAAAGTTTCAGTGAAAGAATAGCAGGGAAAATATGTCTTTGGTTAAATAAATAGAATAGACTGCTGGAAAAAGCCTGAAAGTGCTTTAATGCATATTGATGATCATGGTCTCTCTGAAAAATACACAGCCATGGTGATTAAGTGCAAGGGTGGTTGGTGGGAGGGTGATTTCTGTGCAATTGTAGGGAGTCTTGAGGTAAAAATGTGTCAGAGCTACATACTGTGCTGTGCCAAATTGGTATGAGATGTAGAAGTCTTGCATAATTACTTTATTTACAGCAACTTAGGTTGATTCATGATTATCACTGGTTGCATTTTGAGTGTAACATGGAAATCGTGCCCATATTCTCGTGTCTGTAATTACTGCTGGGTATTACAGAACGAGTATCTGCACCTTGCACTTCTAAGAGTTCAGAGAACCCAGAGAGGTTATACTGGATATTTTGGGATGACTATATGGTAATACAGGAATTTTTTTTCATTATAGACCCTAAAGCGACAGAGCCAGTTGGCACTCTATTTCTTTAACACTATTTTAGCTCATGGGGATCTACGAAACAACAAACTAAACCAGCTTTCAGTCAACCTCTGGAATCTTGCTCAGAAACACGGCTTTGCTGACACCAAGACTATGGTAAGGAGAACAGAGAAAGCGACAAATTTTAGTTCTTAAGACCTTTTAAACTCCTCATTTGGTAAAAGGTAACATTTTCTTGATCTGAATAAATCTAATCTCTTTACAAGTTGCTCTCTTAAAAAAAAAAGAAAAATAAAAGAACTTTAAAAAAATCCCTTATTTTTTAAGTGCTTCTTAATGAATAAGGAGCATCTCTTATTTCAAGTGGTCTGCACCTTTATAGCACTTTTAAATCATGTTTCACACATTAAACAACCTGGAAACAATGGCTGCTGTAACTGTATGGTGTAAGCTTGGAAAGTGGGCATTCTAGAGCCTTTAAGAAAGGTAAACATGATAATGAGCTCTGCAGTAAGAAATGCAAGTGCTCATGTAGCCGGTTAAATTTAGGGAAAATCATGAGAGCATCTATTTAAACACTTTCACATAGATTAAATGATGGCCTGTGAAATGAGAAAAGACAAAGACACTAAAAATCTCAAAATATCTTTCTTTTCCTACCCAGGTGAAAACACTAGAATACATCAAGAGGCAAAGCAAACAACCTGCAATGAGTCACTTCACAGACCTGGCCCTTCGGCTTCCTCTGCAGTCCAGGACCTGATGAGTGTCTCTTTTCCAAGGAGTCATCCGTACGAGAGAGCATGTAGCCGAGACCAAAAATCAGTGATCTAGATTTTGACTGGAGGAGTTCAGTGCATTTTTATTTTACTTAGTGTGACAGATTTACTTGGGGACAGGTAAAACTGTTCTGAGTGCAATAATTTAACCTGAATTTCTGTTTCTAGTTTTACCATTATATTCTTATTTCAAATGCTGATTTAGATTCAGTAAAGGGTATTTGGAACCTCCATGGTTGCAAAAGCCTTTCGAAATCTAATCTGTTGTAATTTTAGCAAAAAAGGAAGAATATGATCTGCACAGATCAATTCACAACCTCCAAACTTCATCCTACTTGCAGAATAGTCTTTCTCCTGTGTAGAAAGCAAGATTTCAATATAATAATCCCACTAAGTTGTCTTTCTGCGTTGGGATGCTGCCAACATTTGCTTGGTCAGTTGTAGTAAAAGAGAAAAATGGCTGAGGTGTTACTGTTCTAATTTCTACAATACATTTTCACAGACATGTTTACGCTTTCATTTTAGTTCAGTGGTGTTTTGTAAAATGGAAGGAGTGCTGTCTGCAAAGGAAAATGGAAATTTATGCAAAGTCTTCTATATTTGCAAAGTATACTGTCACTGAATAAACAATTTGCAGTTCATCTGTTTGTTCTGAGGGAGTTTCTTTGTGTATACAATTTATCACCTTATCCTTGTGGAATTTAGTTATGTGTACTGCTATTACACCTAATAAATTTCACTACTCTGTCCCACGGTAAGGAACCATGTTGAGACCTTGCATCTATTGCTGCTCTTGCTTAGTGGTAAGTAATTTAACGACCTAAATCCTTATGGATATTAAGATACATTTTTGTCCAAAAATGTTTTATTTTGCTAAGGCTAAACAAGTAATCAGTTTTGGTAGAACCAAATACTGAAGGAGTTAGCAAGCTGATAAACCATTCTTGTTGCATGTTTTTCAACTCAGTGGTTACTGAAGCACAGTACATCTAAAATAGGTATTTTGTGTTAAGGTTGTAAAGAACTGAACTAGGAACCTTTGGTCCTGGCACAGACTAAATATGTAAGTTAAGTAAAATTTCAGGAATACCAGAAAACTATGTCACGAAAGGATTCAGAACCTTTCCAACCTTTAGTGCCTAGCTATTTTAATTACACTGACTTTCCTTAAATAATTCTGTGTAAAGCATATGTAGATAATGGAAATGATAGTACTGCACGTTATGTCCCTCTTTAATTTAGCTTTCCTTCTTGCTGCAGCTGCACAAAACAACTCTCAACAGCATGTAGTTAACTCTTCCTGTTGGGCTTGGAAACATAAACCACGAACTGGGTAAGTGAGATTAAAGACGAAGGTCTCTCAACTGCCAAGTGGGTCCCACTAAGCAGCCGTGGCATGGCAGAAATTGCCCTCTGTGGGCAAATGTGCTGCTCTAAACCCAGGGTGGAGTTGTTCCAGGTTCTGTAAAATGGAAACTCTTCTGGCAGGCTTACCAATGTCCCAACTATTCCTCTTCCCCATGCAGGCACCAATTTTTGCCTCTTGTCTTTTGAGCACAGTGTAACTTTAGTTTCTTTATTGATGCAAGAGTGCCATAAGAAATGCTTTCAAATGTTTTAGTACTGTTTTTATTAGTGCAAAAATAGCTCAATGATGGGCAGAAAGTTCTGGTTAGTTATCAGGAGCAAATAGCTTAGAAGCTAACACAACCAATCTAATAAACTGCTTTTGGCTTACTTCCATGTTGGAGCAAAATTAATCTTAGTTAAAGCACTCTTAATTATTATAGACCTCCTCTTTCTTCTGTGTGTGGTAACTATACAGGCCAGATCAAGTTTGACCACTTGAAAAAAGCTGACAGTTTTTTCCCCAGGTATGTCCCATTTTTCAAACTACATTTTTGTGTGCACAGTATTATCAAGAGCAAGGTGCCAGGCCATCCACAAAGCTATAGTCAAGCAGAACACTGGTATGCATTATGCTATTCTAGATGGGAAAAAAGAGTCCTTAGCTAAACGCAAGACTAGGACACATATCTTCAGCATTTTCATTAGTGGCAGTGCAAAACCTGACACTGCCCATCCAAGACTGCCTCTGCAGCAGAAAGCTATACATGCTGTCCCTCTCCACCTAAATGAAGTCACTAGTTAACACTTTCCTACCTGTTCCTTTAGCTCATTTTTTTACCAGGCAAGTAGCTGGGGGCCTGAATTCAGCATTTGTCTTAAATGAGAAAACAGAACCTCCACAACCTGAATTTAAGTAAAGCAACAGCTGAAGCCCAGAAGGGCTGAAGCCAGTCGCTGAGCTTTGAGAGCACTGGTGCAGAACAGAAGCAGCCTGAGGTAGTGGTGGTTTTAAATGACACCTCAAAGGAGATGGTTTCCTCAAAGACAAGTTCAGACACTTCCGGAAGTGGTTCAGCATCTCCCTCTTCCTAGCTTTGGGAACGGATTCATGGCAACCCCTTAAGCTTGAGCCTCTGCATAATTTTCACTTCCCCCCGGGAGGTGCCCAAAGTGCACTGGAACCAACTGGTTTTCTGTTAAGTGTATTTTCTGCTGGAGGCAGCTGCTCTCAGGTAGAGTGGTCCACTGGAAAAGACTATTGTGGAAAGTGAGGTTGCCTAAAAGACCAAGAAATGTAGTAGATCAGCTGGCATGATCTTATCAAAAAGGACAGGTAATCCAGCAGAAAAACAGTGAGCTGGGTAAGTAGAGATAGTAACCTAATTCGGGGGGGCTGCAGTTCCCCTGCAAGTCAGCCACTATTACACTACAGCAGGCATGTGCATAAGAGGGTCACCTTGTTCTGCTTCACAACCAGAGCTACACTGAAGCTTAACAGCACTGTCTCCCATAACAAACTGCTCAGCCAGGAATAAAATACATGAGAGTTTTTCACCGTCTTTTTGTAACTTCAAGCAAGACACTGACAGACTGGTTTGGACCCTTGAATTCTGAACACGATGTACACAAATGCAGTCTCATATTTTGTAATCTTATTAAAAAGCCAACGAAAGTGCAGGTTGTCTGAAAATGCAATGGTTAGAAATTTCAGATTGATGTACAATGAATCCAAGAAGCACATTATTAAAATTACCTTGCTTTCTATAATTTAGGAAGTCTAGATCCATGTATTTGGTGCTGCTATCCAGAAAGTGTTTACCTTCATTTACAGACTACAGCTGCTGCTTGAAAATCCAACTGCTAGAGCACAGTTAAAATATAGAGGAAGTTCACTGCTACTCATCATTATAATAAAGATGCTGATACTTAAGAAACTACTTTCTGAGTTAAAAGTCTCCCCTCATCAAATTTTTAGGCATACCAGCATCTTCAAGTTAAAACACCATTGCTTTGTACCACACTAAAATCCTTTTAATTCACTAAGATATAGCTAAAAATAAGCTTATGGAATCAGCAATTTAAAAAAAACTTAACTACGTTTCAGTTAGTTGCGCTCATTGCCCATATATGTCCAGTCTTTGAAAGAGCCTGTCTCTTGCTTTGTAAAAAACACTGGAAAAGTTTTGAAAACTTACTGTTTAGCTGAAGTGAGGACCCAGCTCCACAGAATCTGGCGTATGCAGTTGAAAACTTGTACTGAAAGTGCCTCATGAATCAAATTTCTTAAACACTTTTTATTTTATTTCAAGTAAAAATATGTGGAAAGTAAAAATAAATTTGCCTGTTCACTTTTCATTCCTTTTATTACTTGAGAGTTTTAATCTTCAAATTTTATAGATCTAGATGTGTATTTGTCTATGTAGCCTTTTTTGTTGGCAGCAGGCTGAAATCCAAGACCAGTTCCTTTATGTTGCTTCAAGTCCATTGCTTTATCAAATTCCATCTTCAGCGCCTGCTGTAACTTCTCCTCCCCTTCCCTGTTCAGAGCCATATTCGGTTTGTTTGTAGTTGCTGAGAGATTTTGGCTAGGCACAGAGCCCTTTTTAAAGCCACCCATCAGTTTAAAAAACTTCATTTGTTCCTCAGAACTTTTAAAAGCAGCTGTACTCCACTGGCCAAACTTTGCATCCTGTGAAGCAAAACAAGGTTAACATTAAAATTAAATAATACCAAGGAAGACAATTTTGGGCTGTGTACCATGAGAACAGAACCAGCTACAAAAACCTGACAGGCTGACAAAGCTGGGAAGCAGTCATTCCGCGGGTAGTACCTCTCGAAGGACACAGCCCTGCACGAGCGCATCTTCATTAGCATTTCCGTTCATTTAACCTGGAGACAGGGTATAATGCACCTTCAGAATCTCCTTTCCCTCTGTCTTTAGGAATCTTGACTTTTCTGCTTTCTGGAGAATATTTACCTAGCTCAAAGACACTGCCCCATCATTTCTCTTATTCTAAGACAATTGTCAGACTTAATCCTCTTTCACTCTGTGCGTTTATCTTTTCATTTTCCTACTGCCTAGTTGTGTAGCTGTTGTTTTCAGCAGGGTTTTGTTATGTTAGTTATGAGACAGATTAAACACTGTCTCCAAATGCTTTAATATTTGCATTCTCATCCCACTAATATTGCAAGAGTGCAAAAAATTAGGGGACACCCTTATCCAGCAGGACTAAATACAGGACCTTAAAGCCTCCCCTCCCCTGCAGTTTGCCATTCCTTAACTCTGCGTTTCGCTGCATTCTTTGAACTAGTTCACTCCTTCAGGATTCTTCTTTTGTCTGTGGCTACTGGCTCCTTTCTGAGAATATAGGCCATGTCCAGGTAAAATCAGAATTCAGCCTTTTGTGGATAACCCAAGATACATCATATGATTTACAACGTTTACGAACGTTTGGCTTACCTAAGAACAGGCTTCATTCTCTAAAGATCTTATTTGACTCCTGAGCTAGAGCTGGGAGCTATGCAGTAATTTGTAACTATTTTTGGCAGGACTGCTACTCCCAATTTTTTCTTTAAAATGGGGTGTGATATTAAATGGAAGATTGGTTGATCATTAATTAGACTGAGCTGGCTCCATCAAAGGAAAAAAATGTGAATCTAGTGGTTGGTGTGTTTATGTAAGCCTGAAATCCTTCCAAGTGAACAGTTGTAGCTTGCATGAAGCGTCATTCTCCACTAGACAGCCAACATGACACACAGCATGCTACACAGTACTGCAGGCAAGCTGGAGCAGGTTTTTTAAAAGTTTGAAAAAAAGCAAGGCTGGAGTATCATTCATTATCACAGGCCAGAACACCTGCTATTAAAAGCAAGGGACCCGTAATACTTCAGTATTTTTACCTTGCTCAAAGACAAATTGCTGTATAAGCCCAGATCTGTGACACAGACACATGCCCACGTACACATAAATGTATGTCCTCCCTTTGGAATGGGAGACATCTGCACAGATGCAAAAATAATTATGGCTTGTCAAACCCTGTAATTTTTTTTTTAAAGTGAATTGCTGGCAGGCACTACACATAGCTTTTGCTGCAGCATTTCCAGCTCACTCTTTGTGAACCTGATGAATTAGTTTTCATAGCTTTTATTCTTCTGCATACTACTGAACAGAGACAGATCAGCACCAAAGAACTGAGATTCTCTGCCAAGGATGTCATTTTTCTCAATGACTTCAGAGACTATCAGATAGTTGCAGTTCCAGAGCTGTTGCAGTCTGCCTCCCACTGTGTAAAAACCTACAGTTGTTGTTTCTGGCATTTGTTTGAGGTACAGTCCAACTTTCTAGGCATACTGGCAGTCTTGCAAAACAACTAAGAATCCTGAATTACTAGCAAAGCTTTCTCTCCTCCTGAATCTTACTACCCCTGATAAACACTACTGCAAGTTTCCACTACCTTACTGTAAACCTGCCAGGAGGCAGGCTGAGCAGGATGCAGAAAGCAAAGAGCAAAGAATCATCTTTCAAAGAGGGGGAGGAAAGGTGCAGAAGTTAGGAAAGGACTGACTGGGAGGATCACACAGGCGTGTTATCAGTTGTCATCTTTTTTACCTTTCCGTGTGCACCCATTTCTGAATGTCTGCAATGTCTTCCAGATAACAAATAAGATACAATTCAGTGACTGCTATATCCATAGCCTAGAATTAATTCTGTTTCACAGTAAACAGAAAATGCTTCTGTAGCAATTTGTCATTGCTCATTCTCCAGAGGAACCAGAGAAAATGTTGCTTTTGAGGACTGATGATGGGAATTAGAGGTCTGTACAATGCCAGCTGCTGTTGGAGTTCACTCTCAGCTGACAGACTCTCTTGGGATTGTACTAACTTGTTCTATAGCATGACCTTAAATTTAAAAAAGTCAGAAGGAAGTCATGCACCTGAGCTGCATACAAAAAAAAAAGAAGGCAGTGCTTTTTTCAGGAACTTGCTCTGGGACACAATATTTCTATCAAATCAAGGTCTAAGTTCATACATACCTGTTCTACTTTGGGACTGAAAACCTTAGTTTTGCCAGATTCTCTATCGATTTCCTCTTGCAGAGCTTGCCGCCTCACCTAGCATGCAGAAAAAAGAGCACAAGACACTATCTTCTGTGTGTTAAATGGCAATTAATTTAATTCACAATTAAAAGGGAAGAATGAAATAATTTGTTATCCTTCAGAATTTTGCAAGGATAATTAAAAAGCTACGTATGATTCTTTTACACAACACAAGAACTGTGATTTTTCTAGTGGTATTTTAAGTGAACACTTTTCTGTATCAGATACGTTTAATCTTCTAACTGCAGGAAGAACTACACTGAACTGCCAACATTGATGAGAAGCAAGGAACCTGTATTTAACCTAATAAGCTACTTAGAAGCTTCTGACGTTGACTGGAGCTGTATATTTTGGACTTAACCCATGGGCGATAAAGCACATTTTACGCAGAGCTCTGTTTAGGGAAATCTTGGTATAGACAAGCAACAAAGCAGGTTTTTTGTTATATTAAATGCTGACTTGCTTTAAATCTTACTTAATTAAAACAAAGCATACCTTGTCTATGTTAACTTCATCACAGTTTCCTTTTTTTTCCTGCACAATAGTTACGTCATCCCCACATTCCTGTAAAACGGGAAAAAGCTGGTATGAATATTTTTATCCATACTGGTTAATTAGAATTTACACAGCTCTGACCACAAAAGTAGTAAAAACACTAAGCAACACAGTAGTACTATTCTGGGGCAAGATCAAATAGTCGGATCTAAGCTGGAAATGCCAATTAAACATATATTTCTATGGAGAGCCATTCTCCCCGAGGAAGAGATCCTTTTTTTAAACAAGATAAGGGATTTTTTTTAAAATTCATGCATTAAAATGGACCTGCCAATATTACTGGCACATACAGTAACCTTTGCAGACAGGGTCATTTAAAATTAAACTGTTCCATAAAAGTTTAAATTTATACTTGAAATAAGGGACAGAGTTAAGGATAAAAAAAAAAAATCGGTGGCAAAATAATGGCCCCTCTGCAGGCACAGGACAAGCCTGAGGCATGTTGATCCCACAAGCCACTTAAAATCCCAAACACAACAATCTAGAGGCAGCTGCATTGTGCTCTGTCTTGCACAAATGTACAAGGTGATGGTCCCCAGGAGCTTCCAGTCTGGAAGGAGCACAAGGAGGGGCGTGACACATACATAAAGTGTCTCCTACAATGGCAGCAAACGGCGTGATGGTTCCACATTTGAGAGCAAGGAACAGGGAGCTGATGTGAAGAGACAGAGCAGCTACAGCAGAAATGGATGGGCAGGATGGCAGGAGGTAAATCAGTGGTGGAGTCCACGAGCAGCCAGATTCTGGGAACTCTTCCACAAAGTGCAGCCCTGCAGCAGCTTTTGCTCCCGTTGACTGGCGTTTCTAGGTCATTGCCCTCAGCCTTTCTTTTCCAAATTTGTAACAAGGATAAGATTTTTGGGCATCCAGTGTAACAGGATAAGTAATAAGTCCAGGATAGTGGTAAATTAGAGCCATAAGCTTTACACCCGCCTGGAAAAGGTGGCCAAAGGGAAGATCTATTGAAACAGCGAACATAATAATCCAAGCATGAAATAGCCAGGGAACACTAAGACAAGGAAAAGATTTGTAACATACTTCTGTCAGCAGAAGCTGCTGTTACTTTTTTGGGGGTTTACAGTTTTATTTGAAGCCATGAATGGTTTTCCAAAGCTGCTTTTTATACATTGATTTCACACACACACAAGTACATAAACCATTAAAAATGTGAGAACACTGTCTGCAATAAGGAGAGCTCATTCCCTTGGATGAAAAGAAAAAAACCCGAAAACCCAATTTACTTCTGGATGGCCTGGTACTGTCTTTTCAGATCTCTTAAAACAAGCAGGAAAACTATTGTGACAGGATGCTGTAAAAGGCTGGAAAATATTTTTTTTCATCTGGAAGATGAAGTGGCAGACAAGGAAGGAGGAAGGGTGCACTCCCATCCCTGCTGAAGGCAAAAACTGCATGGCAAAAAAAACCCCCCTCTCTGGAGGTGTGCCAGTCTTCCCCCAGTGTCATGGAAGGGGAACACATTCACACATGGTAGGATTATACTGTCTGCAGGCTAATAATGTCAAGTAAGTAAACTGAGTTCTCACTCCTCCTCACTCTGCCCAAGTTGCCTGTAATGGCGCCCAATGGGAAAAATATCAATTGTTGATATTAAGTGGGTATCAGTCCACATTGTCTTTAACAATGCACTCTCTTGCTTGCTGCACAAGCCCAACAGAGGATTCTTCTAGGCACGCAGCAGTGTGTGGCACACTGTAGACTAGAAAATGGTTAAGGGCTATGGCACAGTAAAATACAAGACCGACATTATCAGCCATTTATTACTACTGTGTCTTTCACCAGGGCAGGAACTAGATTTCCCTAGCACTGATTTACCCAGACTTCTCAATTTTGAGAAAAATTTCTCTGAAGTACTTTCTATTATCAAAGGATAGAGCTGAATATGGGGAAGAGAAACAAAACATGCATCACCCTGCACCCGTCTCCTCACTTGTTTGCAAGGTATTTGCTGTGTTTTCCATTGTAATTGGTCTTGCAAGTTGACTTGTCATCGTTAGGCTTATCTTGCCTCCACAGAATGTGAGCAGCTGCACGAATCCAAATAATGTCTAACACTCTCAAAAAGCCAATGTCAATTTAATTAGAAAATATATCCCAGCAATAAAACCGCCTTGTCCTTTGAAAGGTCAAAATGAGAAACCTAAATAAAAAGCCCCAAACATCCGCTCACCTAATAACCGATAAGCCTACACACTTCCAACACAAACTTTTGTGGAAAAAGCCTTTATCTGGGTCTCCATGAAGGCTGAAGAACCTGCTTAATTATAAGCACTAGACCCCAGGAAGCTGTTACATTTCCACAGAACATCAAGAAACTATGTGAGCGCATAACAAAGCCAAGCACACCACAAAGAGTGCTTGAGAGGCAGCTAGCGCTATGGCCCGCTCTATCCCTAGTTTACAAAAATCTTCAATGATGCTTTATTATCTAGTGCTTAACTTCTACACAAGCCAAGCATTGCTAGTTCTTGATAAAAAACAACTGGAGTGCAGTTGTTTTTTATCAATAACTGTTTTTTATCAAAAACAACTTTCCTATTACCTATGAAAATAAAAACAAGCTCCAAATGACTCACAATGAGCTGTTTACAAAGTTGTTTAAACATCTAAAAATACAGATAGATACCTACTGAATTTCTAAGCATCTCACAACATAATTCCCAATGACAAGAGAGGTTAGGCATATAGGTACTAAACTTGAGGCACTTAAATAGCTTTAAAATATGCCCCTAAGCATATCCGGTAAAAAAGAAGGTTTTAAAAAAAAAAAAAAGTTAATGTAATAAAACTAGATCTTAATAGTCTAATTGTTGAAAACAAAGAAGAAACCTCTGTATTTCAAATCTTTCATCACTTCCTCTCCACGTTTGTTTCACCTCAGAAAGGGCAGTACTGCGAGACTCTGGGATGGGATTTCCTCTAACAGTCTGATACAATTCCAGTTACAATTTACACAGCTCTTAAATCCATGTATTTTCTTGTATAGATTTATTTGTTTGTTTAAGAATTTGTGTTTAGGTATTCTCTAGTATTTTTCTATCAATATTTATCCATCAGCGCTCTAGGACTAGTCTGCACTTAGACAAAACTTCAGAGAAAATCCTAAGAATCCTAAGTTGGACAACAGGTTTTGGCTAAATTTCTCCCTTTTTTTCTAACACTAAGCAGTTCCAGCAGCAAAAGCTTTAGGAAAAGAGTCTAACAAGAGTTAGATGCACTTATGCTGCCACTGTGACTGACCTGCTCAGGCTAAATGACATGGTATTAAAATCCTATTTTATAGGTGTTGCCACTTTGCTAAGAGCAACTGAAGGAGGGATAGAAGAACATTTATGTCTGTAAGTACTTGTTTTCTTTTTGTGCTGATAGTTATAATATGCAATCTATGCGTTTTACATTTTCATGATCCTGTATTTCACAACTATTACTTGCTGAACTTAATAGATCAGCTGATGCTGCTTCTCAAAACCCAGAAGAGGCTCCTACTGACCTCAGTGTCACCTAAGGGTCTGTACAGGCAGAACAGTCTGCAAAACAGAAACTTGTCTACCTAAGGAGCTTTCAGTTCCTTAGCAGGAGGACACAAAGATACTCTCTTCTTTACAACTCACCAGTGCCTCATTTCCCATGTCTTCTGTTTTGATCTTTTTCTTTTTTGCGTTTGCTTTTGAACATGGTTCTTCAGCAGAGTCCTGTGGTACTTCTTTTTTTCTTTTTTTCCTTTTTCTGTCACAGAGCATATGATTATTATTGCATAATACTCTATCTACACCATCCCCTGTGACACATTCAGCTTGCTTCATTTCACTCTCTTTGTTCTTTCTATTGCTTTCTAAGAGTGCTATTTTTTGGCTTTTAGATGCACTGTCATTGTTTAAAGAAACTTTTGAATATGGTATTTCCTCCTCCTCCTCCTTCTGAATCTTCTTTTTCTTTTTCTTCTTGATTACTTCATTGTTATTCTTGCTATTCTTCCTGCTTTTTTTTCCAGAAAGCTCTTCTTCCTCCAACTCAACTTCTTGCTGTGCAGGGAGATGCTTACCAGGAACTCTGTGACTAAAGTCTTTATTATCTTCACATGTTAAGGAGGAAACATCTTTGCTTCTCTTCTTCTTCCTTTTGGTCTCTCTGATACTTCCAGAGTTCTCAGTAGTGTCCTCTTCCTCTCTATTTGTCAATGTAACGTCCTGGAAATTCTTTCTGAAGTCCCTTAATGCAATGGGGTTATCAGGAATTCCATAGACATTGTCCTGATGATCTGCTAGTGGTAAAAAGGTGTCGGGCTTATCTTTCTTTTTCTTCCTCTTCTTTCTTCTCACATAACTCTCCTCCTCATTCTGGATAATACCTGTTCCATGGGTTTGGCCAGTAAAAGCTTCTTCTTGTGAAATGTATTTGTCTGGTTTTTTATGAACTTTTTCAGTCTGTTTATGTTCACTGTCCTGGATGTCTTCTAATGCTAAAGAAAAAATGCCTTTCTTCTTTTTTTTCTTAGTTACTTCACCATCCAGTTCCACATTCAAAGCAGTATTCTTTGTGCTTTTTCTAAAAGCAATTTCATTTTCCTTAGTACCATCTGTATGATGATTTGAAAACTCCACATCACTACTCTGATTATTCTCCAATGATACGGAGGAATGACCCTTGGCTTTTTTTTTCTTCTTTTTGAGAATTTTAACTTGTTCTTCTGATTCTTCTTGAGATTCCGAATCCAGATGGCCTTCTACATTCACAAAGCTTTCTGAATGTGCTTCTTCCAGTAACTGAGAGGCAACTCTCCTTTTCTTGTTTTTCTTCTTCTTCAGTTCTACTTCATCTAAACATTCGTCTTCTTTTGATTTTTCCTTTTTCCTTACCTTTGTTTTTGTCTCAAGTGGTCCATCATCCTTACTTTTAATGACAGTTTGAACATCTTCCTCAATTGTAATGACAGTCTGGCTCCTACTACTTTTCAACTTTTTCTGTTCAGGTTCCTCATAAACTTCTTTTCTCTTTTTCTTTATTATCATTCTAAAAAATGAAATAAGATGTTAGCACACCACTTCAACAGGTGACACAAGTTCTAGTCTATTTGCCCTTCCTTTATTCTGAAACCATTCCACATCGCTCCTTGTCCCTGGCACTCTTTTTCCCATTTCACAGCCTGCTTTCTGTAATGGGATGGGGACCAGAACTGGGTGCAGCACTGAACATACAGTCTATTTGAGTGGGAAAGAGGATTTTTTTGTCTTGTTCTTCACTGCTGTCCTAGTTAGTTTGTAACTTTCTATTTGTCTTTTTGACAGCTGCTGAGCATATTTTCACAGCAATATCTACCCTCTAGAAATCTTTCCGAAATGATAAGACATACACATGTATATAAATTGATAAGCATAGTTAAGGTGTTTTTCCGCGTATGCATGATTTTGCACTTATTTAACACTGAACTTCATTCCCCACTCAGCATTACAGGTTCCTTTTAAAGCACCTTAGTCATTACCTTGAATTTGTTTCTGTTTGCAATTTCTCATCCTTGCTCTCCATGTCCTTTCTGGGGACGTTTCTGCCTATGGACAGGTGACAGCAGAGAGCCTTTGGCACCCACCTGCTGCCCTGCGAAACCCACTTATTCCTCCGTGGGTTTCCTAGGAGGAAGACAATTTTTTCTTTTTCCTTCCATCTTTTCATTAATAACTAACCCTCAGGATTTCTTTACCAGCCTCCTCTAAGGCTCTCTGTGTAAATCCTTTACAACAACCCCACAGACCCTGGCGCACCCACACCAGGTCCCGCGTGAAG